GCTGGCGCTGCTGTCGGCGCTCTTCGTGCTCAGCGTGGCGCTGGCCGTGCTGGCGCGGCTGCGCCGGGCCGGGCCGCCCGCCGTGCTGCGCTGCCTGGGCGCGCAGCGCTTCTCGCTGGCCGGCGCCGCCTTCCCGCCCGACTTCTGCGAGGGCACCTTGCCCTACTCCTACAACCTGTGCGTGGCCGCACCGGCCCGCGCCGCCGCCGAGGCCGCTTGGCCGCCGCCGCCGCTGCCCATCCTGCCCGCCGGGGATCTTCTGGCCGGGGAGCCCTGCGACAAGCCAATCCTGAGCAGCAGCGCCGTCGCGGGAGAGCCGCCCAGAGACCCCGACGCACTGCAGGTGGGTAAAGTCTCACCCTCCTTCTCTCTGAGCTTTTCTTAAGGTTGTGCAGATGGCAGTGGGCTCTTGGGGTTTATGTTCTGGCGCTGTTTGTGCTGGTCTCTGTTTCCCTGAATGCATGTAATAAGTCTGCCCCTTTAAGGATGCAGGGTGTGAGAACGGGCACTTCTTGTCTCATCAGCTTTGAGACATGTCAGCTTAGCTGGGAGGTTCTTGTCGTTCAATTTTGCTGCATAAAACCGGGTAGGACTTGTAAAGGACTGTTTCTACCTTCTGTTTTATTTAGTTTTTCTCTCAGAGCAGTGACCTCTTTGTTCAGCTCTTCATGTTTTTTGCCAAAACTTGTATTGTGTGAAATAGTATGGGTTAATCACAGTGAAGGGTGATACTTAGGTCTTAGAAAGAGATCTGGTAATTCCACACGGTGAAGTTGGTAATGCGAGTGCCACTTAATAATGAGATTTTTCCCTCCTGATTCTTTACCGTGTAGATACACGGCGACTTGTTTGTTATTTCGGAGTTTAAGGAAACTTGATAGAGGAGTAGAGTTGCTCTTCCCTAAGGAATATGCCTACCTTCCACCCTGTACCGTCCCAGTTTTGGTGTAAGTGGGCTACAGAAATGGCAAGCTATAGTGAGATCAGTTTATTTTATCTGAGCTTTATTTCTTTGTTCTCTTTCTGCTATTATTTCTCATTCAGAGTTTGGTAGTTCATTCTTATATACCATTCTGCAGCCGACTTTTCTACGGAGAGACTGAATGTGATTTAAGAACTAAACTCTCATGTTTTGCTTTTTGTTTGTTGGTTGGTTGCTTTCTGTGATTCTAACCCGTGCTTTACTTCCATCTTTTTTGTCACCAAGTTTATACTGTCCTTGCTTCATGGCATCTCTCGCTAAGGCTGTCAAGAATGAGACACTAAGCTGTATGCAAAAGCAGTGCCTTATGTTTAGGATATAATAAAAAAATCGGAAGTACTGGTTGGAGGAGAGCAATGCAGGCTGATTCAGAGCAGCCTCGGACGTGCAAGTGAAAAGTAAAAAAGCAGAGAGGGAAGGGCAGTACCTAGAATCCCTGCTTTTGAGAGGGGATCTTAACAGTTGCTATGTGCAATTGCTCTGGGCATGGAAATCTACCGTGGCTGGAG